AGGGAGTGAGTTCCATAGACTAGGTCCTTTAATTTGCATAGTGTTTACACAGATTAAGTTTGACCCTGGGGATATCAGATATTTATTTCTGGTGTGGTGATAATGGGTCCTATTACATCTGTCCAGGGAGAGTTTCAGAGCATGGTTTGCATTTAAGAAAATGTAGTTGACACAAGAGAATGTGTGGAGGGAGTTAATATTTAGCAAGTTTAGGGATTTAAACAAGGGAGCCGAGTGTTGTCTGAAAGCAGAGTTAGTTATTATTCTGATAGCAGATTTTTGCTGGGTGATGATGGGTGGTTTGCAGTGGTAGACCCCCATGCACAGATACCGTAATTAAGATAGGGGTAGATTAGTGCATAATATAGTGAGAGGAGAGCAGAGTTAGGAACATATCTTATTTTAGAGAGTATACCAACTGTTTTAGAGACTTTCTTAGTTATGTGTTGAATGTGGGTGCTGAAGTTGAGTCTCTTGTCTAGGAATAGGCCAAGAAACTTGCCATCATTTTTATTACTGATGTTAATGTTGTCTATCTGTAGCTGAATTGCATTTGATTTGCTTCCAAATAAGATGTAGTAAGTCTTTTCTATGTTTAATGTTTGTTAGTTGACATCCATAAGTGGACTTTTTTTAATTCATTATTCACAACATTATTTAGTGTATGTGGGTTGGGGTCTGAATAGATAAGGGTAGTATCGTCAGCAAACAATATAGGTTTAAGAATATTAGAGACATTAGGTAGATCATTGATATATATAAGAAATAGAAGAGGTCCTAAGATGCTGCCCTGTGGCAGAGTGGAAGAAATTGTATCATTGATTGTTATACATTGGTGTCTGTCACTAAGATAGGATCGGATGTAGTCAAGGGCAAGGCCTCGGATACCATAATGCTGGAGTTTAAGCAAGAGGTCGTTGTGATTAACAGGTTGTTGTGATTAAGCAAGAGGTAGTTGTGATTAGCTTTTCTTAGGTCAATGAAGAGTCCAATCGGAAACTCATTTTTGTCAAGGGCCGAGTAGATTACGTCAAGGAGACTAATGATTGCATCATTGGTGCTCCTTTGGGACCGAAAGCCAAACTGGCAGGGGCTGAGTATGTCGAATTTTATGAGGTAGGAATAGAGCTGTTTGTAAATAATTTTTTCAAATATTTTTGATAGAATGGGTAGATTTGATATTGGTCTATAATTGTTTGTCCACCAGATTGCCGCCTTTATGGACTGGCGTTACTCTTGCTTTCTTGAGGATATCAGGGAAGGTGTGACACTATAGATTTGTTGAACAGTAGAGCTATGGTTGTGGCAAGGGCATGGGAGGCTCTCTTGTATACAATGGACGGAATTTCACTGGTGTTCCCTGCCTTGGTTATTAGTGAGTGTATGATGGACACAACATCTGACGGGCTGACTGGTGAAAGGAGAAGAGAGTTTGGATAGCTGCCTGAGAAATATGTATTGATATGTGTCTGAGTATGTGGGATTTTACTGGCAAGATTAGCACCAACCGATGAAAAGAAACTATTAAATTCATTTGCCATTTCTAAATCAGTTGACGGTATATCCCCATCCTTGTAGAGTTTTATTTGGTTATGTGAGTGTTGTTTAGTTCCTAGGATACTAGAGATTGTTTTCCAAGTGCTTTTCATGTTGCTTTTTGCTTCAGTGAATCTATTTACATAATATGCAAGTTTTGCCTTTATGATACTGGTAAGCATTGATGAGTACCTTTTAGCTACTTCCTTTGAGACTAGGCCAATCCTAAGTTTCTTTTCATATTCATGTTTCTTGTTGATTGTTATGTATTGTTCTCAACTCAATGAACATCTATAACCCTGTTTCTTTAACCATTAACATTCCATGACAACATTTCAGTCTAGGGTGATCCATTATTAATCAATTCACTTTCTAAGTCATCCCCAATAAGTTCACTAAATGATAGCCATACCGTGTATAACATCTCCCACCTCCTCCCAACTTCACCGGTAAAAGCAACATTGTGTTTCTCGAGATTTTTTCAGTTCCATGACGTCCATTATTGGCCCAAATGATTACTTCATGTTATATTTAATTAGAGTTCTTCCTTTCACTACGACTACCATCAATTACACACACTTCACTTTCCTTCATTTCATCACTCATTGTTGTATTACTGTCCTCAACCACTATTTCCTGACTTTCCTTCACTGTTTTGTGACTTTCCTTAACCACCGTGCTGCGCGGAGTTTGAGACATTCCCCCAGTGCACATGAAATGAAGTGTGACCAAAAAATTATTTTTTCTTTGTAAAATGATAAATTCCCTTCCCTGAACATGTCTATGTAAAAATAAATACCAAATTCCACTTACTTTGGCTGTAGGGGCGTGGACAAGATGCGCTGTGATGTTATCAGGGCCTGGTCGCCCGTGCGTGACACGCCCAGACACGGTCGCGCGGGTCATTCAAGCACCAGGTGTTGCCACAAACATATTTTCAATTATTTGTTTTGTGTATTTCCAATGCAGTTTTATTTGCTTTTTTATCGTATATGATGCATATTTGTGTCCTTTACAATATGTATACAGTAGAACGTTCATAATGTTCCATAGAACTGTGATACATGTGTCAGTAATGTGTCCACAATAAATGTTTATTGTCGCAATATTACCTGTTAAAAAATCACTAAAATTACAGTATGTACAGTTTCACACACACTATTTACACAGTAACACACTGTATTACACACTCAGTACTTCGGAAGTGAGTAATAATCAACGAAGTAGCCCATGGTACACAGCGCGACTTTGCTCTCGTTGCACCAGGTACAGATAAATTTTCGCTTCCTGTTTCTTCATTCTGTGTGCTTGCAAATAATGCACTCACGTACACCCTTGGCTTTAGTACTTGTAGGTTGTATGTAACCAAGCTTGTAAAGCATAAGGTAGTATTGAAAAGATTATAGGAAAAGATCAATTTGTAAGATAGTCTTGAAAAAGATCACTTTGTATGGTCCCACACAGGAAGAGATTCAGCTTACCTCGAGTGTCCGTCAGTTGGGAAGAGATTCAGGTATTCTATAAAATATCTATGGAAAACACCACTATGGAAGCCGCTAACACCATAGCATCTATGCTATTTGTATCGGATGCATCATCACTGAACGCAGAAAACGATTCATCTAAGTATCATCTAAATAAATAGCATAGGATTGCAAGGGTGACGCTCAGAGCTACAACTGGATACGCTCGCTATATTGTCCTCATAGGTGTTGTATCACTTGCATCCGACCTTTGTGTTAGGTCCTTATTGCGCCTGGCTTCCCCAATATTATGACCCTTATGTTCTTCAAACGATAAGGTTTGAATTTCACCGACAGAGCATTATCTTTCAATACCGCGTCGGACAGGTGTTTGGTAGCCATGGTTGCTCATTCAGTACTAACCCAGCCAGCAGCCCTAAGGCATTCTGGGAATTTTTTCCAAGATGGCTGCCTCTCACTGGAGGTCCTAAGAGTCCATTTCGTACACAACCAACCTCGTACACATTTAGAATTGGTTACGAAAAATCAAAACGAGTTTTCTCGGTTGGCGCAGTTTCCCGCCGACCGAGAAAACTCGGTTGGCGCAGCTAAGTGGTTAATACGGTGACGCTTGGCCCACACAAATCGTTGGTCGTCGAGGATGAATTCGGGGTCTAGAAACTGAGGGTATTTGTAGATAATTACCTTCGTCAGCTTCTCGTTCTTCTCCGGTATTTGCATAAGAATTCCTTCATATTCTTGCTGGGTAAGAAACACAACTGCCTCCATAGAACCTACCGTTAAGTAAGGTCTGTTCACACCTTCCTTCAGCAGGGGCTCGAACTTGCGGTGCTCCTTTCCAAGTTTGACTGTCCACAGCAGCTTGTGATGGTAGGCCGGCATCCTGTCTCTTTCGGATCGTTACGGCCTTTGCTACCTTGCATGGTCCCTGCAACACCCTCACTCTCACTTATGTCATGCTTTGACTGTTAGCCCTTCAGGTGAGCCCTGTTACCTTTCATCACCTTCCTTTTTCTGTATGGAATTCTCACTTACACGATTCCCTCTCATCTCGCGTATGCAGTATCACTGTCTCGATCTATTTTTGCCCACCATGGAGAGACCCACTTGCAAAGTTTTGCAAGGCCTTGACCCACATGCTGATGGCTTACACCCTTCCTACTGTCATGAAATGCCTTTTCCTCAACTACATATTAGCCACACATTTAACTTTTGGGCATTAATTAATTTAAGTGGAATACTGCCCTTCTCCTTATTGTACAAACTTCATTGTCCCACTTTTGCTATTCTAATACCCCTTGGGGTCGTTTGTCCTTTGATAGAATCCTTACATCCTTTTGTTCTTGTATCGGCATGCTGATTGATATTTAGCATGCTTTGAATATCCAGTAACACAGATAGTGCTACATAGTCTTCCTGGCAGGATGCATTCATTTTGATAATTACTTCTTCAGAGGAGGACATATCTGTTTTGGAGAGAGTTCATCATTATGTAACAAAAATCATACCAGAACAAAATAGTCCTCATACCAGGAATGTTGGGGGCCATAGGACTAACACTACAAACCAGATATGATTGGGCTAATCTCATCAAACCTTTTAATATACTAAACAAGTTGGGAGGATATTAATCTAGACCAGTTGTGTAAAAGATCAGATGTAACAAACACGTGGGGCCTCCCACATATATGTTACGTGGGAGTTGTATCCCAAGTTGTATTTAGGGTAAAACTGCCAAGCATCATCTGAAGCTGTAAATGCCAAGACATTACTGCAGTTCAAAATCCAGTTGAAAAAATCTTCGGGCAAACGTGGAAAATATTTGACAAGCTGCTGACTTCCTGATCCCATTGAGAGCACTAGATGCATGGTGGCTTTGAGGTGAGATCAAGTACAGTATCATTGTTTTGTCTGAGTTTTGATCCTTTCCTTTCTTTGACTTCCAGATGTACACAAATTCTGAAATATTCCATTTTACAGGCCAGGCAGTTGAAAACTGTGCAAAACTGATGCATGCTGATGGGCTACTACGTCGTCCCAAGATTGCTGAATCCCGTTGTAGAATTGCTGCCAACATTTTTGAAAACAAACAATGTTCCCAATAAATTTTTAATGAAAAGTGCTTCCAGTTTTAAGCAGGTTTGAGAATATTTTTATATTGTCATGAGTACTAATGTAATGCAAATTTTTAGTGAGTGTTATAACATTTTAAGTTTTTAATGAGTGCTGTATTTTTCTAGGTCATAAGTTACAAGTTTGTTTATAATGGAACAAGGTGAAGATTATAATAAAATTAACTGAACTACATATTTGAAAAGACATGATAGTAGTAGTATGTAGAAGCTGGTTGACTTTGGGAGTTCAGACAGTTAAAAAAAAAAAATTGTAGTGCCTTGTGTGAAGGGAGCCCCTTTGGCTCCCTGGAGATATTGGACTGATATTAGCTAATATTAGAATGGAGCTTCAGTCATAGGGAGTTGTCATACCTACCAGGGACCACTAGCCAGAACATGGTCCCCTCAGAGAGGTGCAGGAGCAATGGCTTATGAAACTCACATGTATGAAAGTATTCATGTCTGCCATCAATTGGGGGTGAGCACCCAGAAAGGTAAGCACTTCAAAACAGACCCCACCTGGTAGAAACATTGCAACCAAACACTGAACAGAGGTGAGAAACTCCCCCAAACAAAACAAGCAACACATCATCACACCGTGTGCCACCGTTGTTCGCACTGACTAACCGCCTCCTTCCCCAACCAAGAGGAGGGGAGGGGTTCCAGCCCACCGAGCTGCCAGCCAGATCGTCAGTATGTCAGTTGTGAAGCAGTACTGGGTGGAAATCTGCTCCGGTTTTGATTGCTTGATTGGCTTCACCCTGCTGGTGTTCCCACCTGCTGTGTTTGGCAATATGTCTTGGGCGGATACTCGGGCACGGAGGTTTTTCAAGATTGACCAGAGTCCTGACTGCCCGATATCTTGTAAATGTGCCGGGCCCTCAGTGGTCTTGTCACCTTGGATCGGCAATTTCAGCCAGTTGTCTCATCTTTGGTATGAGTTGTGCAGTGCAGCTGCCTCCCGGTTAAGTCCCCTTATCATTCCTCTTTGGGTAGTTAGCTCCAGGGATCCAATGGGGCTCCTCCACAGAAAACCAGCATCAAATTTAATGAAATGCCCTTTTCTGGGTAGATCCCCGGAGGCAACCTAAACCCCCCCCCCCCCCCCCCCCCATGATTGGCAGGTTTTGTTTCCATTTTCAGCCTCCAAACTGACGATCCGGCTGCCATCTCGGGGGGGCTGGGGCCCCTCCTGGGGTGGGAAGGGGGTTTGGTGCGAACAAGTGGCACACGGTGTGATATGTTGCTTGTTAGCTTTTTTCTTTGGGGGAGTTTCTAGCCTCTGTTCAGTGTTAGGTTGCTATATTTCTACCAGGTGGGGTCTGTTTTGAAGCGCCTACCATTCTGGGTGTTCGCCCCCAATTGATGGCAGACATGAATACTTTCATACATATGAGTTTCATAAGCCATTTCTCCTGCACCTCTCTGAGGGGACCATGTTCTGGCTAGTGGTCCCTGGTAGGCATGACAACTCCCTATGACTGAAGCCCAGTACTAATATTAGCTAATATCAGTTCTATAGCTCCAGGGCTCCACCCAGAAAATGGCATTTCATTATATTTTTCTCATTGACATTAACAGTCAATACTAATTTTCTGGGGCGAGCTCCTTGTCGGTTCCTGAAGCTATAATGCTGATACAGTGCCAAACTACTAGGCGCTATCAGTCATGGATTTTTTTTAGGCCTACTGGAGACCATGTGTCAGGAAGCGGTCCCATCTAAAAAGGCATAGAAAGTAGTGCCACTAGGATAAAATTCTGATTTTTAAGACTCGCGCTCTGGGCGTGCGCTCCGTTTTATGCCAAACTACTACTGGCGGTGTGGGCGAGCCTGCGGCGACAGCGAAATGTGTGTACGCGTTTCAGTTTTCTCACCTTAATTCTCGTGCTATGTCAATCGTTTTGGTACCATTGTGTTCACAATAGAATTCCCTACAGGCGTATATGCATATCCAAAAGCCTGGTGTGACTCCCCATAGCGAAGCCTAAAGTCTGCAAAAGTTCTGTGAATGCACAAAATAAGTAAAATGTTTATACTTGTTTCAGTTTTCTCACCTTAATTCTTATGCTACGTCTTTCATTTTGGTATCATTGTGTTTGCAATTAAATTCCCTGCAGATGTGTGTGCATATATTGTCAAAAAGCCTGGCGTGACTTCCCTTAGCACAGCTTAGTTACCCGTGAACGAGCACCAATTGGCAGACCCGTAACCTAATGTGTATACTCGTTCAGTTTAATAACATCAATTTTTGTGTTACGTCGCTCGTTTTAGTATCAAATTGTTCGCAATATAAAAGCGCATATTTTAAAACTAGTCCCATAATAATAGAGCAATAAATGTAATTTTAACATTTTAATATCTGGATGCACATGACAATTATTTCTTCCAGTTTTCTGACATCAATTTTCGTTTTACATCATTCATTTTAGTATCAAATTGTTTGCAATTTAAAGGCGCGCATTATAAAATTAGTCCCATAATAATAATAGCACAATAAATAGAATTTTAACATTTTAAAATTTGGACCAAAAATGTATTTATAATCTTTCCAGTGTTCTGACATCAATTTTTGTATTCCATCTTTCATTTGAGTATCACATTGTGGGCAATCTAAAGGCGCTCATTTTAAAACCACTCTCAGAATGATTGGATAAAATTTACATTTTTAATAAATATTTTAAAAATGTGGACACCGCTCGCGTCACCGACTCGGGCACAAGAGAAAAACTGGCAACGCCAGTGGCGTTACCGGAGAGTGAAAGTGTTAATCATGTCTGCCTTTACCGGGAAGGTACCCACAAAGTCGACGAAACAAAACAGACCATTGCTGGTTATAAAAAATACCAAGACCTCAAAATTGCCAAAAGAACTTCCCCAAAATGTAAACAAATGATCGAAAATTCATGGAACTAGTACAGTGGTACCTCAGTTTTCGAATTTAATCCGTTCCCAGAGACCGTTTGATAACTGAAAATACGAAAACTGAAACAAACTTTCCCAAAAGAAATAATGTAAATTGAATTAATCTCTTCCACACCCCCAGATACAATAACTAAAAAATACATTTTATTCAGAATAATACTCGTAAGTAGCTTTTCTTGCCTTTTTTGAGGACTCTTGTTGGTGTAGGGAAGACAGTGAAGGGGGAGAGGATGAGAGGTGATAGTGTTTGGGAGGGGAGTCCCCACTCCCCTTCCAAACATTCCATTATAACAGCACTGATGACATTTTTGGTGTATTCTCTCTCCCATTTTGCAGGCATACCACTAGGACCTGGTTGTGGCTCACTGCTTGCTTGTCTTATTAATGTCTATAGACACTTGTTTTTCCCTACGTTTTAACACTTGTCTGTAGTGAGACATCACATTCTCACTATGAATGATCTTGTTTTTCCTCTCTTGTCATGCTCACAACTATTTTCTTAGGTTGTACATTACCACCATCTTTCTTGGAACCCCCTTGCTGTGATATATAAGAAGAACTTTTATGTTTAGAAACCAAAAAAGCACAAAAAACAATGAAATTCTTCACAAAGAATTTAATTGCAATCATCACTAGGCCTTACACTGGTAAACTGAAGCGTGCCATGTGCTCGGTGGACCCGTACGTGTATAAACAAACTTCGAAAACCAAGGCAAACAAGAAGTACTGAATCAAAATTTTTGAAGAAATTGAGATCAAGATCTGAAAAATTAAAAAACGGGCATATGAAAACAGATAATTACCTAAAGTGTAGTTACAAGATGAGAGCTACGCTCGTGGTGTCCTGTCTTCCCCGCACACTGTCATATAATGCTTTGAAATTACTGACGGTTTTGGCCTCCTCCACCTTCTCGCCTAACTTGTTCCAACCGTGTACCACTCTGTTTACAAAAGTGAATTTTCTTATATTTCTCCGGCAGCTTTGTTTCGTTAGTTTAAATCTATGACCTCTTGTTCTTGAAGTTCCGGGTCTCGGGAATTCTTCCCTATCAATTTTATCGATTCCTGTTACTATTTTCCCACACCAGACCCATTATCCCCACACCAGAAATAAATATCTCTTTGATATTCCCAGGGTCAAACTTAATCTGTGTAAACACACTATGCAAATTAAGGGACCTAGTCTATGGAACTCACTCCCTAGTGAATTGAAAAACTGTAAAACTTTTGCCTTATTTAAAAGCAAAACCAAAAAGTACCTAACTTCATCTTCTTAGTTTCCTACACTGAGCTTTAAATTTGCTCTGTACCTAGTGTTACCCAATCTCCTAATTTTTATGTAATATCAAACAACCTTATCATTGTGTTCATTGCTGTCTTCTATGTGCTAGCCATATGCTGTATTGTGACTACCAATTTTTGTCAACTACCATTCAAGCTGTCATTGCAATCAATCTCAGCTACCTATGTGCTTTAATATACTGTACCTACAATTTTCTCTCATCTTTTTTTCATTTCATGTAATCTGTTATCATTTTTTTGTCTATAATTTTTGCAAGTATTTACCTCCTTAAAATTTTCTTAGATTAAGGACCTGCCCGAAACGCTGCGCGTGCTAGTGGCTTTACAAGACTGTAATTACCATATTTGTATCCTCTCATTCCTTATGTACATTCTTGTATATGCATAAATAAATAAATAAATAAATAAATAAATAAATAAATTTTCAACATAGTGATCATATCTCCTCTTTTTTTCTTCTATCTTCTAGTTTTTGCATATTTAATGCCTCTAACCTCTCTTCGTAGCTCTTGTCCTTCAGTTCTGGGAGCCACATAGTGGCATGTCGTTACACCTTTTCCAGTTTGTTAATGTGTTTAAGATATGGGCACCATACAACCGCTGCATATTCCAGCGTTGGTCTAATAAAAGTCGTGAACAATTTCTTTAGTATTTCTCCATCCATGTATTTAAAAGCAATTCTGAAGTTAGAAAGTGTATCATAGGCTCCTCGCACAATGTTCTTAATGTGGTCCTCAGGTGACAGTTTTCTATCTAGAACCACCCCTAGATCCCTTTCTTTGCCAGAATTCTTTAAAGAT